ATCGGCCTGGACGGTTCCCAGAACTATTTTCAGGACGGTATTTTGAACAGTACATATCGTCCTGGACGATCTCAATATCGTCCCGGACGATCCTGGGAGGAAAATCCAAGTCAGAGAGGAACAGTAAGGGAACGAGGTCTCACATTAACACTCGGTGAACTATTGCCATACAATGGTACAGACAATATAATCATTGGATATGGAAGCACATTACCTATAGCTCACACTGGAGCTGACATTATACCAACCCCTAACCGTAAGCTTCAATTACCCAAGATTCTTCATATACCTACCCTCTCCCATAATCTTCTTTCTATTTATCACCTAACCAAAGACAATAATATCTCTGTTTCATTTGATGTGTATGATTTTCATGTCAAGGATATCAAGAAAAACAAAATATTGCTTCAGGTCCCAGTCATAAAGGACTCTATCCTATACCAGCCCATCCCAACATATCTCAACAACACGCATTCTCAGCATCTAATAATCACCAAGCTGCAGCCATATGGCATAACATAATTGGTCATCCCCACACCAGAACCATGGCAAACATCTCCACTGTCAACAAATAAACTCAACATACATATCTTCTCTGCATTATGCTCTGCTTATAAGCCATAAACTACAATATCCTAATTCTAGTTCTAGATCTAAACTACCACTTGAACTCATCCACTCCAATGTATGGGGTCCTGCCCCAATCATTTCAAATCAAGAATTACATTTCTATGTCATTTTCATAGATGATCATTCCCGTTTAGTGTTGATATTCCCCATGTCTTGTAAATCAGAAGTACCATCCATCTTCATTACATTTCACACCATGATCAAAAAATAAGTACATTATAAAATAAAATAATTTTATAATCACCAAATGAATCAACATGAACCAAATACAAAATCAAACATTAACATCTATTAAGTTAAATGAACCAAATTTGAACATAAAATATAAAAACTCGAATATAGCACAAATAAGCTAATAATAAACGAACTCAAAGATAAACAAGCACTTTCTAAACTCTTTCGCAGTTGCAGACCCAATGTAGGCTAACTTTAATATTTCAAACTACTAGAAAATAACTGAGCAAGAGCGGACAAATTTTGCCAAAAAAAATAACAATTTGCCTTTTGTGTTAATGGCCAATGGATTTATGATGGATAATTATTAAGTAGGGGATATTACGTAGGCCAAGTCTAGCTTTATACTACGGGAAAACACGCGATTACCGTCGGATTTTCCGGCGGAAAATTGTGGCCGGTAATAAACGGCGCAGGAACCGGCGGAATTGTTCGACGAAAATTTTGCGCCGGAAGTTCGCCGGAAAAGACGATACAACGAATCGTATCGTATGTACCGTCGTCTTTGTTCTGTCGGAACTTACCGGCGCATGTACCAGCGCACAGTCCGCCGGCAAGTACCGGCGTATACTTTGCGTAGCAAGCGAGTTCGTGGGGTTTCTACGCACACTTTGCGTCGTTTTATCCACCGGTATTGGCCGGCGCATAATGCGACGCTAATTACCGGCGCATATGGCGCCGGAATTAAGACGTTTTTTAACGTCGATAACAATCCGTTTTTTTGCCGGTAATTCGTCGGAAACTGCGCCGGAGAAATTTCCGGCGCAAGATTTGCGCCGGAAATAATTTATCGATGCGACCAAAACCGGCGTATGAATTTCCGCCGAAACGTGCGCCGGAAACTTATAGTTCCGTCGGAATATCTATGTTTTCCGACGGATTTCGTCCGCCGGTAATATGGGGTTTTCCTGTAGTGAAGCACTACTAATTAGCCACTCTCCATCCCAAATGCACTACTAAAAACTACATGTTTCTGCAATAAACAGATCATATAGATAGTTATAAGCAGCGATTTTCACTACTGCTAAATTTATTTTTAAAAACAAATAATTTTTGCAGCATTCAATAACAACATTTTAAAACCACCATAAAAAGAATTTTTAAAAATATCATATTTTAAGATCCCGTTATTCCTCTCCCACCCGCCTCTATCTCGATTAACCAGTTGCCTGCCTCATTCTCCCTTCGGTGTCCTATCTCCCACTCCTTTGACAGCTAAATCGCTCTGAAAGGCCAAATCCTTGATTTCGAACAGCTCTGACTCTAGCAGCTCTACCTCACACACCATGGATCTCTCGTTCTATCCACGACATATCAAAAAGCCGATGGCCTCTTCCCTTTGTTGCTTGCTATCATTTGCACGTCCTAGATGAATCCCTCTTCGTCTGCTTCTTTCCTTAACCGACGTGATTCACACGCTCTGGTACTCCTCTCTCCCTCGTCTCCTTTTTGTCAGCCTTTCTTGTTCTTGCGTGTAGTACAAAGAGCAAACGAGTGTGGCGGAGGCGAATAAGCCTTGCACGAACGGGAGACTGAACGTGAGGCACGACTCAGTGTGAGGGAAAACTTCCATTCGATAATCTTCTTCGCCTCTATTTTCCTCTTCTTCATATGGATTAATATTTTCTCCTAAAATCTTCCGTTATTCTTTTCTTGAGTTCAAAAACAGAGATTTTATGGCTAGCTTATCTTGTGTTTTTTTGAAGAAATTTTTAAAGGGAATTTGCCCCAACAATATCTTCCATGCATAGATTGTAAAATTTAAATTTTATGCAAATTAAGATGGCTACTTGTTTTAGTTATAGTGAAAAATTTACTGCTGAAACATGTTTGATTTATTGTTTTTATACCATTTCATATTGCTAAGAATATGGTAACTCCAAGGAAGTCTTGATGAATTCTTGTCAAAGGGTACAAGGCATGTTTCTTATTCTGTGCTATGATTTTGAAGTTCTGTCCAAATTCCCTAGTTGAGGAAATTAATGAAATTTGGGATTTGGATTTGGTTCACTTAGTACTACTCTGTTGCTAACCATTAAACCAAGTGGAAGCTATTGATTTTGTCAGCATCTGCCAAAAAAAAAATGTGTTGATCCATATAAATTTAAGCTCTTTTGGTTGAAACGGGGCTGTTTGTTTGATTTAGTAGGCCCAACGTTTTCTCTCTTTAAGTTACACTTCACACTAAGCTTGCTAAGGATTGCATTCAAAGTATGTCTAAATTGTTCAGGATTTGTTTATCAACTCAATAGTTAAAGAGAACTTACGTACATCTTCTGTACGGCTATAGCTGTGGAGTCGTGGTGGTTTGGAAAAAGCATAGCTCTTTGTGTACGTAGTTGTGCTGAGTTACCTATTATCTATGAAAAGAAAGGAATAACAGCGATTTTTTAGGAATTGGCAGCATTCGTCTTATTTAATCAGTAAAGTGAGGAAGGCTATTCAGTTTAAGATTTTGAAAGGGCTAATAATGAAAAAATCAATGATTTAAAGAATTATGTTATTTAAAGAACTTTTGTTTAGCAATGTAAGTTTTTGATTGATTCTATCGAGACGATGATGATCAAAGACAGCTATTTATATTTAAACACTTGGATGGCCTTCATGGAAACCAAGGGAAATTCAAATTCAAGAAGCTAAAAAGGTTCTTGTGCCAACCATGTTGCCTGGATGGCCTCAAGACTAAATCTACCCAAATTTTTTCAAGAAGACCCATTTGGATATTAGAGGAATATAAAGGTTGGCTTTGGATAATCTGAGTCCAATTCTTCTATTTCCAAGCTATTCTCTGGTATGTTTTGAAGAGTTGGTACTCTGTTGGTTTCTATTTGTTTTCTTCGTTTGTTTCTTATTTTTCAGATTTTTTATGTATTTCTTATTTGCTATTATCTGTTGTAAACTTTATTTAGCTTTATAAAAATCAGGCTTCCCCAAAATTTCCTAAAAGAAAAAAAATCTATAATGAAGAGCTATACTTGTTAACTTGCACAATTCAAACATGAAGGCTTGCTGTATACTGTTTTCCCTACTATTCCAATAACGTTTCTTTTTCTTATTATTGTAAAACAACTGCAGTTTTCGCATCGCCAATTCGGTCATTTTAACCTTTTGCAATAAATGATGTTTGGAGGATTGCCTGGAACCTCTCTAGCTAGCAACTTATGTTAACAATTTTTTTTTTAGTTTGTTCTTCAAGACTGGTCACTGGTCCGAATGCTGGTTCTCTATGCTCTATGTAGTGAATTTTGACAATCATATGTCAGTTGATTGTCATCAGTTGATTGTCAAAGTCTTTCTAGCGAACACAAATACAGACGAATTTTATAGGCGTTTAAACCGCTGTAGTTAGAAAAAGCTCTGTAAAAACCTAAATTAGTAGTGATGACACCGCGTTTAGCTTTCAGATCGATCAGCGCCTTCTTCATCTTCATGGAGTTACTTTCAGCTTTTCCAGCTTTCAGCCCCAATTTAAAAGTTGACCTTTACAATTGGGATTAAATTGAATGTCGCCAATTTCTATATTTTTTGCAATTAAATCTTTTTTTAGCTTCTGGAAAATTAGATTGGCCTGACATTGCAATAACTTTAGAATAAAATTAAACTAAACTTAAAATTTATTAACTGATAAGTTTACTCAAACGAAAATAATGAACAAAATACATTAACCAAAGGAAATAAAAAAATTATCAAAAAAATTATAAATTATAAAAATAATATATAATTATAATGAACTTAATTTCGTGTATGCTCTTCCGAAATGAATAAAAAAATCATTTAAAATAATAAAAAAATTCAGAAAATTAAAAAAAAAAAAATTCGAACATGGGAAAAGCACTTAGTTCGATCAGTCACCGGCAACGATCGATTTACTGCTATTTCAATCTTAATTTATTTTCCACGCAGCGATTCATAAATGCAATCATGAATGTAAAAAAAAAAATCATTTGGATGAAGAAACCGCAGCAGCACGATTAGCAGCCCTAAGAAACTTAATGTACTCCACAAGTTTTTCAGCTTCCGGCAGCACCTCCTTGGCGGCCTCGGCGGAGCAGAAGCGTTCCGCCCACTCAGCCAACCGAGGAGTCTTCGTCTTATCTAGAAAGTTTATTCCCGTTACAATTTCCATAGCTTTTAGCCAATTAATGCAGGAACCGAGGGTGATGTCGAGCAAGTTAATGGTGTCGCCGCCGAAGAAGCTTCCCTTACTGCACTTAACAAAAGCCTCTTCTAACAGCAGCAGTGCGGTAAAGAGTTGCTCCGCCGCTTCTGCCTTGCTTTTCTCATCCTCTTTCAATATTAACACTCGAATCTGAGATGTTAACTGCAAAAAAAAAATGGAAAATGAACTCGAACAATCATAAAAATGTGCTTTTTAATTGAACTGTGTAGTTGACTTTTTGTATTAGTGGATAGTCCGATCTCCCAAGGAGAGTTATGTTATCTTGCCGAGTATTGTTAGAAAGCCTGTTATGTTGTACTATTTTGAAAAAAAACATTATTTTATAGCTTTAAATCACTTGGAACTCTTAGGCTCTGTTTTTTTTTTTTTTTACACTCTTAGGCTCTGTTTGTTTTGAAAGAACTGATGGAATTAGGAGTGCAAATGAGTCTAGTCGAGTCGAGTATCTACCTAATCAAACGAAACTTGTTTAATTAGTTTTTACTTAGCTCCAGCTCGACTAGTTAAAATATTTATAAGCTCGAGCTCGTTTGAAAAGCTAGAACTTGTCTTGATTTTTTAACTTGATCTTGACTTCATAAGCTCGACTTGCGAGCCAGTTAAGGAGTTGAGCTCGAGCCGGCTAAGCACACTGACACTCCTAAAAGGAACAAAAATTTGTGCGGTTTCATCGGCTTATATTCTTTAGTTAATTTCATTTATGTAAAGATGTTTACATACATATCACTTTATTTCAAGTTATTTATATATCTAACATTAAAAATTTTAATATTACATTCCTACTATTCATATAAAATTTTAATAACAAATATATCATTCATATGTTTTATTCTTATCACCCCTATCACCCTATAAACTTCCGTTCCATGCACTCATATTTGTTCTACGGATGGTATGCATATAATATTAAAATTTTAGGAATTAGATATATAAATATCATGAAATAAAGTGATATGTATATAAAGTTTCTTATTTTTTATTGATCATTTCTATTTCAATCATAAAACAGGAAGAAAATTGATCAAAACAAGCAACTTGTCTCCTTTCAAAAATTAAAAAACATTATTCTCCAAGTCCACCAGATAAAATGAAAAGTAGTAATTCACACAATTTCTTCTTCTCAAAATTTCATTTCCTCGTCAAGTCAAATAGATTCTTAAGGTCCTAAGGTAATTTCTTTTCATTAGAAATACAGCACGTACCTTGTCGTCGACATAGGCCGCCCAGAAGCGAACGATTGCGAGATCATAGGGATCGACGGGGAGGATGCGAGGGCCAGAAGAAGCCCAGACATGGTCTATGTACTGGACAATTACAAGGGACTCGCAGATGGATTTATCCCCATGGATGAGTACTGGAACCTTCTTGTAGACGGGATTGGAGTTGAGAAGAAGCTCGCTTTTGTTCGACAAATCATCTGGGAGGAACTCGTATTCGACCCCCTTCAGATTTAGAGCAATCATTACTCTCGTGACGAAACCGCTCGACCAGATCCCGATTAGCTTCACCTCGTTTTCTATCGCCATTCTATTCTATTTCTTGATCTGAAATTTGATTTCAGATATAATAAGACTTATGATCTGAATTTCTTCTATTTAAAGCTCGAATGCAGCACAGATCTCCTATTTTTCTGCATATATCCAAGAGATTGCCGACATAAACGTCAGCAATGACGTTGTAAACCGATCAAAGGTGGACTTGCGAGTCGATGGCGCTTATATTTTGATTAATTAAGTCTGCAGAGATCTGAAAACATTAGCAAATCTTGATTGCCTAAACTTCTTCGCACCAGAACTCTTTCATTTGCAAGTGGGAGGATTTATACATATGGCATTTAAAATCAGGGGTGTCAATATTTGACAGAAAATTTGATGGAAACTCAACAAGAAAATTTTGGTTCAGATCAACCTGAATTCGAACCAAGTCGAGTTTGGGTTAGAAATTTCGACCCATTTGTAAAATTGGGTCGGATTTTGGTTGACCCGGAAACCTGAAAACAACCCGAGTTGACCTAGGAACCGTCATTGTCGCTCCATCTTCCTGGGTTGTGTCCGTCACTTCATCTCTCACCTTCGTCACTTCGTTTATCGCATCTGCCGTTCATCTGAGAGCTGCTACCGCAACTGGCCTGCATTAGGCTTTAACCCGTGACCGCGACAAGAGGATCGAAAGTAACGACGATGACAAGAGCCGCTGCCGAGGTGTCGCTGCTGCCAGAGTTGCCGCTGTCGTTGTTGCTGTCGGCCTACATTTGCTTGAATAAGCATGCGAATGGAGCCTCTGCCGGCATATTTACAGGTCGGGTTGGGTTAGGGTTCAAAAAACTAACTTTTTTGCAAAAATGGTTCTGATTCGAGTCGGGTCGAATAGTGTTAGATTAGTTTCGAATTCAACCCGAACTCGTGACCCTATTTTGACAACCTAATTAAAACATCTATATTGATGAATTTAATATCAAACGTTTATTATGAATATTATATAATAATAAAATTATTTAATATCTCAAAATTAACGCACATCTCCTTCTGAATGATGGAGAAGAGGGTTGTCAAGTGCTTGACAAGTTTCGAGCACAAGGGAAGAGGAGATAACCTAAGGCCATATAGAATAGGGCGTGAAGAACTTGACTAGATGGCCTCAACGTCGGCAGAAGAGAAAAGATAGCCGTTGGATCCAAATTTAATTGTGGATATAAAATACTCTACTTTTTAGCCGGAGATCATGAGAAACTGGCTAGTCGGATTGAATAGAGCTCCGGTGAGTGTGGAGAGTGAGAGTTTTATATGCCAGAGAATAGTTTGAAATCTAGAAAAAATAGGAAGTAAGAAATATAAGTTCAAAGAATGCTGCAAGATGTAAGAGATCCCAAAAATTCCAAAAAGATTAAAAAGATTGGAAGTACTGTTAGAGATAAAATGTTTGTAAAGAGTAGAAGAGGATATTGTGAATGAAAAGGAAGAAAAACTTTCATTATATTTTTTCTCTCTCGTATCAAAATAGTAAGGCCAAAGTTCTAGTTTATATTTGTAACCATTCTAAAATCATTACATGCATTAACATAATTTAAGGAATTCTATAATAATGTTCAACTAACAACTAATTAGGGGAGATTCTTCCATTTTCTTGAGATTTCTTCAATACAATTTTCTAGAAACAAAAAAGATACATGATAATTAATTTTAGTTTTTATTTTCAAACACTTCCTCTTAAATTAAAATTTTTATTAACCACTCCAAAATATATCTTTAATTTTATATATATAGTGATTAGTGGACGACAATAAAATTTTTAAGTTTTACATATGACAAACCCTTTGCATTATTCTAATACAAAAACGCAAAAAGAACTGATCTTTTGCCATTGCTGATTCCAAGCAATCAAATAATTACTAAGATATAATTTACATCTGTGATAGAGTTGTTGCGTCATGGGATATTTACGGCGGTTGAGAAATATAAAGTTTAGCGTCTAAAGATTCAGCATGCATACATATAAAAGAGAGGGTGTTGCAGTAATACTAGATACTATAGTTTTTAAGTGGAAACTCCTACAAAGAGAGAAAATCATGGGGCATAGCCCAGTTTGAATGAATCCACTAGTATTTGTAGTCTATGACAAATGAGGCCGTTCCTTGGGAGAAGGCATTGGCTTGATGGCACAAATATACATCATATAGATCGCATTACATGATGGGAGCTACATAAAAATGTATGTTTGGTCGGCAAGACCATAGTCGATATACGACGGAAGTTGGAAAGATTGTAGTCGACAAGCGTTGGAGATTAGAAAGACCGTAGTATGGTAACAGAGGTTGGGAGGACCGTTCTCTGGTGACGGATGTTAGAAGGACCGTAGTCGACGATGGAGGTCAGAAAGACCATAGTCGGCAGGCAACGGAGGTTGGAAAGACTATAATCCGACCATGGAGGTAGGAAGGACCGTAGGTGGCCAAGTCTAAGTCCGGTAGAAGTCCGGACGTTAGGTGATGGTTTGGCAGAAGTCCGTGCGTCAGGTGGTGGTCCGGTAAAAGTTCCGGTGTCAGGTGGTGGTCTGGCAAAAGTCTGAGCCTCAGGTGATGGTCCGACAGAAGTCTCGGTGTCAGTTGGTCGAGGAGGAGCGAGGAGGCAAGAGCGATCTCTGATCTTTCTCTTGATTTCTTTCTTGGTGTCACATTTTCAAGAGAAATGATGGATCTATTTATAGATTTATGAGGGTGGCAAGGCATGTAAATAAGAGGAAGATCAATGGCAAATTGAGAGTGGTTTGAATGGATGGTCGATTTTGACTCCCTTGTTTGTGGATCGTCTACTATACATTTGAATATCCTAGTGACGTCGGAATTTAGTAATCTTGGGCTCGTTGGATTCGTCTAGTCGAGCCGCTCGATTCGACTATAAGCATGTCACGTTTGGAAACCGTTTCGTAATCCAAATTGTGGTTTGAACCTTCCAACAACGCTTTTGTTCTATGATTTGGACCCATTTGGGCTCGGATTGAGTCGAATTTTGTGTCGTTGCATGGGTTTCTATTTTCGAGACCGTCAATTCGACCATAAGTTTGCTGAAATCGGAGTTCGGATGGTCCCACTTTTAATTTTGGAAGTTTCCAACTTGATTTTATCTCGAGATTCATGCCCGATCATGATAAATTTTTGATGATTTATCATGAGTATATCAAAAATGTTATTATTTTAAACAAATATTTTTCAATCTTGATTTGTAGTATGATTAAAAATAAAAAAAATATATAAGAAAATAAATATATAAACATATCATAAACTCTTCTGAAATTTTATTGCATGCAAACTACTTCCAGGATTAGTAACACACTCTTATTACACGAGAGAAAGCTCAACAACCCTAAACATGTCCACAAAACACTTTATTCCTGCCTTAAATGAACTGAGAAGAAGAAGAAAGACAATAACCAGAACACATCACATTCTTTGCTGCTCTGAATCGAAGCCTGCAACTACGATATCAGAACTCATCACGCCGTCGAAAACTTCAAGCGAAAGAACTCGACGACTTGAACCATCTTATCACTGTCCGGCATTAACTCCTTCACAGTGTCATGAGAGCAGAAATGCTGAGCCCAAGTGGTCAATTTGGGCAAATTGTCGTCTCTCAGAATCTTGATGCCGTCCAGCTTCTCTAGTGGAGTGATCCAGGCCAAGAAGGATCCCAGTGCAATGTCGACGAAGCCGATATCTTCGCCCCCAAAGAATGAATTTCCTTTACTTGATTGTTCAAAAAATTTCTCTAATGGCTGAAGCGCTGCTGCTGCTTCCATGACCGCTTTCTCCTTGGCTTCCTGCGTTGTCGCACTGACATGGTCCCTTAACCGAGGGAAGACCTGAAGGCATGAGGAGATCGAACGGGCAATTAGGCCGTAGTGAGATGGATTGACATGGTTCATCAATATCTAATTCAGAGAATAGTGAGGAGGGAGTTGCCTCTCGCAGGAAAGCGAAGGATAGTATGGACCACATAAATTGCGACTCACCATGAGCTACTCGCCACTATCTAGGGCAGAATGCATCAACATCTTTCTCCTTCACACTTTGCTGATGAGTAGGGGTATCAATATTTGACACGACACGAAAATCCTACCTGAACCCAACTCATAATTTTCGGGTTAGACCTGACCCGTTTCCAAAACGGGTCGGGTTCGGTTTCGCAGAGTTGACCCACACATTTGAAAAACTGATTAGGTTCAGATTGACCCGACGAATTTCCGACCCGTTTAACTACCCGGGTAGGGTTAGGGTCAACCCGTTTGAACCCGGGTCAATTCCGGGTTCTACCCGAACCCGAACCGTGACCCGAAATTAACACCCCTACTGATGAGCACACAACGATGTGAGAGAATTTATTTTCTTATCCTGATTGGGCTTAACTTATGTGCTTGTAGGCTTCTGGTTCAGGCTTTCATAGTCCTGTAATTTTTTATACGAAAGGGGACGCTTTCAAATCAATTTTGGATTTCATAATTTGAGAACTTAGGTTTTGTTTCGGACATCTTTCTTTCTGCTTCTTAAAACTATTTTTTAAAAATAAAAAATAACTTTAAAAAGCATTAAAAAAACCGTCCCAAACAAAACCTTAACCTTTTACAAAGTTTTGCTTATTTTAAGAGCTTCGATGAAATTTATGAATGGTATCCGAATTTCGAATACAGATATCCGCTACGTTCCAACAGAACAGTTCATGAATGCTCTATTCTAATATAATCAATCTATTAATTTTATGTAAAACAGCTCACGAGAACTACTAATTATTTGGTTGACCGCCTAATTACGATGGGGAGATTAACGCTCCGTTTAGGACGGCTTTCATATTACTCCTTAAATTATTTTTTTAATATGATAATTAAAATTTTTGAACTAATTTTTTTTTAAAGTAGTAAGAAAGGCGTCTCAACTAGGCCTAAATTTTTATTCTTAAACTCCAATTTAGTTATTTATCTAAAAATAATAAAATCATAATTCTTAACAATATTTTAATTAAAATTTTATATTTAAAAATAATTCTGAAAACCTAAACCTAATTTTTAAACCTTGGGTTGGATGGACGATGAGGGGATTTACACAATTGAGTTTTGGGAGCATCATTTACTTACAAGATTCTATTTTAGGATTTGTTTGTGATGACTATATTTTTTTATAAAGATGATTATAAAAATGTTATAGAAAAATTAATTTTTTTTTTTAATTTTTATAGAAAGTAGCTTCCAGGACAAAATTTTTTAGAAGGCGCGCATAAGAGTGGAAAAATTATTAGGTGCGGAGTGCGCACCGTCCGCACAAGCATTGAGGGTTGCTCGGTACCGAGCACCCGCTAATGCTTATTGCGGACGGTTCTATCCGTCCTCACTCCGCACCTAATAATTAATCTCTTATAAGACTGGGCTAGTGAAAACCTTTTTCTCCTCATGACCACTCTTAGATCCATTTCCATTAAAGAAAATATTTTGTATTTCGAAAGAAAGTAAACTACCGATGCATACCTTGTCATCAATATAATAAGCCCAAAAACGAGCCTCTGCGCGTTCATGATGGTTAACAGGAAGAATTTGCTTTCTCTCAGAGGACCACACTTCATCTACGTATTCGACGATTATCATGGACTCGCATATGGGACGGCCCTTATGAATGAGTACAGGGATCTTCTTGTACACTGGATTGCTCTTCAGAAGCAGCTCGCTCTTCTCCCATGTATTCAGCTCCTCATGGTTTTCGTATTCCACTCCTTTTATGTTCAGCGCAAGCTTCGCCCTCAGCACAAAGGGGCTGAGCCATAATCCTATCAGCTTCACTCCATCTTCTCTCTCCGCTGCCATGGCCACTTATACCAACGAATGAGGCACTTTGCATGCAACGATGTAGCTAATTAAAGACCTGAGATGAGCGTCTAAATATAGAGGGGGGCTTCTTCATCCCAATTTTTATTACTATCGAAAAAATTATTATATATATTTTTAAAATTCAAATATTTAATTACTATGTAATCTATAATAAAATATAAGGGAATTAGAGTTTGTTTAGGAAAACTCTCTAGCTGTTATGTTATGTTTTTAAAGTAGCAGCTGCAATATTGCTTAGCTATTACTTCTTTTGCTATTTTTTATTCCTTTTTAAAAATTTTTTGGAGTGGAAAATTATTTTTTACAATTAAGATAGTTAAGGCTCTGTTTGAGGATTAATTATTCGGTGCAGACGTTGAACGTCATCTGGAGACCAACGAGAATGCGCTACATCACCCATTCGCTTGGTACCCGACTTGGTATTGCTCATGAGTATCGCGGCTCGAATCGTTGATATGACGCATTCTAGTTGGTCTTCGGACACCGTTCTGCGTCCGGCCTCTGCATGGAATAATTTATCTTGTTTGAGATAGTTTTCTTAATACTTATTACGCCAGCTTTTTAGTACAAAAAATTTCTTGAAAGTAATGAAAATATAATGGTTGAACCTCTTAAATAAAATCTAAGCTACTTTACTCATAACAGCTTCACAATCAATTTTATAAAAAACTATAGGCATCCCGAAATAAGATAGAGTTTCATCACGTTCATTTCTTGTTTTGATTTATTCATTAATATATTAAATGAAAAATACAGAAATTATCTCTATTAATTAATTTATCTTATGAGCTTGTCCGGCGCACCGATTTCAGTGCAGGACGGAGAAATTATTTTCTTGTTCAACTTGATCATCAAGCGTTAACTTTTTGTTTAAACGTTTTTTTTTTGTCCAGTTTTATCTCGATTATATACGACATTAACTCCGGATTGACTATATCTAATTCATCTACAACATAAACAAGTACTATATGTATAGCACATAAAGACAACAAAGCATGGCTCAATGTAGAAGAATTTAGTAATAGTGTTTCAACAATTATAATTGATAAACACAATAAAATAATTATGAAGGCGATGGGCATTTGTGTTTACAAGTAGCTCGATTATGGCATTCAACTCCACATTGACAACATCTAATTTGTCTACAATATAATCAACCACTATGAGCAACACATAAACATAACAAGCAGGGCCGAACTTTTATTACATCCAGTGAACGTACGCTCCTCTACGTTCGGTTTTAGACCAAAACAGCGCAATACCGAGTTTTTTCAAAAAACTCGGTACTCGGTACTCGGTATTGCGCTTTTTTTGTCCAGAATCGAACGTAGAGGAACGTACGTTCACTGGATAAAATAAAAGTTCAGCAGGGCGTTATCGTAGAAGCATTTATTAATAGTATTTTAAGAATTATAATTGATGAAGGAAAGAAAATAATTATGAAATTGTTAGGCACCTAACTTCCTAACTCCACATTAATTCCATCTATGCTAAGATATCATAGTCCATACGTAATAATTTCTCCTCTCCATGAGGTAAGAGCATTATATTGTTCTAACAACTTCTCCAATTATTTGATCTTAATATGGTGGTCTACATACGTCTTGTAAATGCTATATGAGTTTTTTTTTTTGGTTTAGGGCTCTAATCGAGTCAAGTTGAGCTCAAGTCTCCTTTATCTTAAGGTTGAGCATGATTAATTGAGTGAGATTGAGCTCTAACTTGAACTTTACTTTACGGGTCGAGCCGGATCATGAGCGGCTTGATTATTTTGAAAGAGAAAAAATGATTATAATTTAAACTATTATTATAATAAAAATATTAAAAAGAAGAAAAAATTAGAATAAAAATAATAAGGAATAACTTATATAAGAAAATAATATATAATATTTAGAATTTTGAAACAATTTTTTTCATAAAATTATAAATGCTAATATATTTTTAGGTATATTTTTCCATTTTCATTTTTTTCTGACTTAAGAAGAAGAGCCGTTTGTGGCCAACCTTGCTAGCTGTCTTTTTGTATGGGATGGGTATGTGATTAGTGAGTAAGAATTATTTGTATTTGTATGGAGTTTTGGAACTCTAGCTTTGGATTTTTCTTAACTTGCTCTAACCCTATCTTGGTTAATTAATCTGAAGATGTCTTAATATTCGGCTATGGATTTTTGTAATTTAGCTTAATTTCAACTCATTTGATTTAAATTAATAGAAATATGATTTTTTTTTATTAAGGCTTTGTTTGGGGCGGCTTTCTTACTGCTTCTTAAAATAGCTATCTATTATAAAAATTTTAATTTTTGTAGTAAAAATTGCTTTAAGATTATAAGTAACTTTTAGCAAATTAAGATATGATTTAATTAAAATTAGATTAATTAATTAAAAAATTCAATCTCATCATATGAATTACAAACCACAAATACAACTCTTAAGATCTAATACATTTAGACAAAGATAATCAGCCCTATAAACTGTGGTTGTGAAAGGTCAAATAGAAAATTATGATTATGATATGTAAAGTAAAGCAATTAGAAAGTTACCTAAATGAAACCTTATGCTTCGTTTAGGATGGCTTTCTTACTGCTTCTTAAATCAACTTCAATTTTCATATTAAAAAATTACTTTAAGAAACAGTATTGTCACAAACGAAGCTTAAATGATGGCTATCAGACCACCTATGTGTCCTTATCCATTTTTTGGCCTTTGTAAGCCTTTTTAGGGATTTTTGAACTCACTCAAGTCTTTTTTTTTTTTTTTTTTACATTTTGAATTTAATATTGATATTTTTTTAGCATTCAAAAAGCATCTATTATACTTTTTTTTTAAAAGAGTTTTAATTAATATTTGTAAATAATGCTTTCCGCAAATAATATGAAAACTTCATTGAAGAGTAAACATTAAGATCGAGGGAGTATTGATTGGTTCAATGTCCTAATAGAAGATCCATATAGATATTCAAAAATTTATGACATCCAGTAATTTTTATAAAATTTAATTTTATGTTTCAAAAATTTTAGTTTTAAAAATTTTAAATCTCATTAAAATTCAAATTTTTATTTTTAGACTTAGAGTTTTAAATATTAAAAATAATGAAAATTTAGGTTTCGTTTGGAATGGCTTTCTTTCTGCTTTTAAAGTAGCTTTCTAGAATTAAAATTTTTAAAATTAGATTTTTTTTCACTAAATAACTGTTTCAAAAAACAATAAAATTGATGTCTCAAACAAAGCCTTAATATGAAATTAAAAAATATATTTAGGCTTCCTTTGAGATGACTTTTTTATTGCATCTTAAAGCCATTTTTTAATATAAAAATTAAAATTTTTATATTAAAAAGCTGCTTTAAAAAACAGTAAGATAGCCGTCCTAAATGAAGCCTTAATCAATTAGGAATCTTGATGCAATTTTTTGGCATCTCAAACCATCTGAACATTTAAACATGAAATTTTTAGAATGGACTATAAGGATTTTTAAACCCTATTTTCTCCAAATTTATCATTGAAAGGAGTAAAATTTCTTGACTTAAATCCAATTACACTAAAAATAAACACTTTGAAGTGTACCTAGAAATTTTATGAGACCATTTAACCAAACAACTTTCCAATTTCACGTGTATTACAAAATGAATGTCTTAAAGAAAAAAATTTGACGAGCCAAAGATCAATTAATTATGACACCATTGAAGCAGTAAGATATTAAAAAAAATTAGGGAAAACCCCTGAAAAGGGGGAAAAACCACGGGGCCTGGCCCAGCTTGAATGAATCTACTAGTATTTGTAGTCGATTACAAATGAGGCCCTTCCTTTGGAGAAGGCCTTGTATTGATGTAGCAAATATACATCATATATATTGCATTACATGGTAGGAGTTACATATACATGTTTGTTTGGTCGGAAGGACCGTAGTCGGCAAGAGACCAGGGTTAGAAAGACCGTTGTTTGTTAATGGAGGTCGGAAGGACCATAGTAGGCGACGGAGGTTGGAAGGACCGTAGTCGGCAGGAGACCGGGTTCAGAAAGACCGTTGTCTGTTGATGGAGGTCGGACGAACCATAGTAGGGGACGGAGGTCAGAAAGACAATAGTCGGCAGGAGACCGGGGTCAGAAAGACCGTTGTCTGTTGATGGAGGTCGGACGGATCATAGTAGGCGACGGAGGTCGGAAAGATCGTAGTTGGCAGTATTCTGGGAGAACTGTGGGCATCAGGTGGTGGCCTGGTGGAGCTCAAGGCCTCAAGTAGTGGTCCGGCGGAAGTCTGGGCCTCATGTGATGTTTTGGTGGAGCACACGGCCTTTGATGATGATCTAGTGAAGACAATGGCCTCTGGCAAAGGTGAGGGCCTTTGGTGAAGGTGAAGGCCACTGGTAAAAGTGAGGGCCTCTGGCGAAGGTGAGAGCCTCTGGCGAAGGTGAGGGCCTCAGATGAAGACGTCGGGCCTTGAGCAGAACGTCGGGCCTGAACGTCGGGCCTGAATGTCGGGCTTTGAGATGGTGGTGAGGAGAAACTCCGGCGGTGGTTCGACGAACTCCGATGGTGGTCCAACGAGGTTCCGGCGGTGGTCCGGCGAGGTTCCGTCAGTGGTCGAGGAGGAGCTTCTTCCTCCTCTTCCTTCTCTTCCCTTCTTGCTTCTTGCTTCTTGCTTGGCCCCCCTCTTATGAAGAATGAGGGCTCTATTTATAGATTTTCTGGAGTGGCATAGCTCGTAAATAGGCATGAGATCAGGGGCGAATAGGGAGTGGTCGAATGGACGGCCAATATTGAATCCTACGATCGTGCACAGTTCATTGGACATTTGAAGACCTTAATGATGTCGGAATTCGGCAATCTTGGGCTTGTTGGATTTGTCTCGTCGAGCCGTTCGATTCGAGTATAAGCTAGTTAAAATCGGAGACCATTTGGTATCTCAAATTGCGGTTTGAACCTTCCAACAACGCTTCGGGTCCATGATTCTGACCTATTTGGGCTCAGATCGAGTTGAATTTGGTGTCGTTGGGTTCGTATTTCTGAGACGCTCAGTTTGACTGTAAGCTCGCTGAAATCGGAGTTCACGTGGTCCCGGATTTAATTTTTGAAGTTTCTGGTTTTGGTTTTGCCTCGAGATTCGTCACCAATTAAGATAATTTTTTGATGATGTATCACACGTAAAAACTCTGTTGTCTCTTATGAATATTTCACCCCCTCTCTTATCTGATTGTGTGCTGGATCTTCGTACAATGCTAAGACGTTAAACCATATATTTCTCCACCGCCACGAATATTCCAGGACGCAACAGTTTGGCGCCGTCTGTGGGAACCTGGTTCCCGACTAAGGGCAAATTTTTGCTCCAATCTCAAAAGGACGTTCATGGAAACTTCCTGACATCAGTCATTCATCAATTTCATGAAAAGTAATTTCCGACTAGGGGGCAAATTTTGCTCCAACCTCAAAAGATCATAATGTCAACTTCCTGACTTCAGCCATTGCTTCATCAATTTCATGGAAATTAGATCTGGAATGGGGGCAACTTTGACTCCAACTATGATCAAGAAGATCCCTCCAATGCTTTCAATATCAATATGATACTTCAAGGAACTCCCGGCAAATGCAAGGATACTTCTGAAAGTCATATACAGTCCCTTACTGAACTTCTACTCCTTAGGCAATGTCTTAATCTCGACCTCAAAAAGGCAATAACGGTCTAAAGATAGACCATTATTTACCTTTGATACAGAATACATGCGGCATTCTCCCCCTTCCAAATCAAGACAAAATTGATCCCAAGGGGATCCGATTAGACCTCTTCCACATAGGTTAACGTCGTCGAGCAAAGGCTCCGACATACAACCTCGGAAAGGTCTTACATCCTTGGTGGATTCTC